GAATCCCAGTTAGCAAGTAATTTGGGACCTGGATGACACTGGAGACCAATACATGGAAGCTGAGCAGACCAAGAATGCTCAATAGGGAGCCTAACGCTGACTAAGCCTCAGAAGTCATGATGTAATTTACCAAGCCACACGATAAAAACCATGAAGTTAGAATCTCACTGTAACTCCACGGGTAGAGAGAGGGAACATTTATTTGCTCTTGGGAGAGGAAGTTCTTGAGGACATGGGAATTCTACACTTAGACCCTTCACAAACCTTGCCTTATGTGTTTGTATCCTTTAATCTCCCCCTCCTTCCCCGCTTGACTACGCGATAGCCCTTTCCTCTGTAGTTTGTGAGTTGTTTCAATCGGTTATTAGCTCTAAGAAACAGGGAAGCAACTAATGCCTGGGTAACTAGCTCTGGGTCGAAGGACATGAGAGGAAAACGACCAGCTGGCAGCGGGGATCTGAACTCCCCAGCATGCAGCGACTGCCCTGCACTGGCTTGATAGTACACTTGTGTTTTGTTCTGAAAGCTATGTAGTTTTAGCTTTTACTATTTTTGTAGTGTCAAAAATCAGTATTTTATTTCTTTAATCGGGATCTCTTTTCCTTCCCATTCTCGCTTTTGTTCATATTTCCAACATATACCATATTCAAACAATCTCCTAAATAATCACATCATCTCTGATTACACAAAATACACACAAAAGTAAATTATAGCTACTAGAATAACAATAAAACGCATTTATTATTGGACCTTATCGCAAGATCTGCAAAAGCTATCTTTATAACTGTATTTCCACTGATTGGCCTATTCATTCTAAAAGCAGGAACTTAAGAGTTTGAAAATTCATCAAGCTTACCAAAATTAAAATAAAGCATATCATTAGTGAAGCTTTTCCAGAGAACTTATTAGTAAGAATAAATCCTCTTTAAAAGTTTACTTAAAAACACCTACATCGACAATTAAGAAATCCAGCCAACACCAGGCATTGGTGAAATACGTTTTGTAACCATATGCTACCCATTTTAGAAGCATTTCCAGAATGAAGATATAAGTGAATATCTTGTCTGCGTACTCCAGGATAATCTTAATGGTTTTTTTCTTTTCAATATATATATCTTCAAATGCCTGTGGAAATAGTATTCAAATTTTAATTTAAGTGCAACTTAGAAATAATGATGTGTAATTAAAACTGACAATCAAATCATGATCAGGAGTATTACATGGAACGTAACACTTTTATGGGCCAAGGACTTTCTTCTGGCTTATAGCTACTGGGTCCCTTTCAGTGATGGTCTTATTACAGTGTGTAACACTGGTCACAAGAGGACAAGAGAAAGAAGATGCTTTAGAATACTACTTGCAATCCTCTAAAAGAACCAGGATCTCTGACACCTACACGGGTTTCTGTTTACATCTAATTCCCATTCTTCTTGTTCAGTCCTCTCATCTTAATACTTTCTTACAAAGTAATTAATTCCTCTGTCAGTGCCTCTTATGAACCGTTTCCAGCCCGCATTCTCCTTTACTCTGAGATGTTTCTGAACCCCCAGGGCCTAGTGCGGTTGTTACCATTTTGAGGGCAGCCAGGGACTGTTTGTAAAATGGCAGATTGCAGCATGGAATAAGGTGATCACGGACATAAGATGCCTTCTTTCTTTGACTTTTGCAGCCCTATTACATCATGCATCCAAAACTTCAGCTTCATTTCGTGAACATGGCACTTCTTACTCCGAGAACTGTCAGTGAGCAACTGGCAGTAATACTGGGGCCACAGTCATATATCTTTTGGGGAATGATTTAAACAGATTTGAGGGCTTGAGACAGGGACGTTGCTAGTGCAGTGGTTCAAATACTAGCTTCTAACCCCAAAGTCTGTAGTTAGAAGCAAGCAGCTACTCCGTCGATGAACGATAAAGCAATCTGCTCCCGTGAAGATCCAAAAGTCTTAGAAGCCCTATAGGGCAGTTGTGTTCCATCCCTTAGTCACTACACATTGGAATGGACTTGCCAGAAATAGGGCTGAGCTTTTCTTTCTTTTTCCTGAAGGGCGTGAGCTTACTGAAGGCATGGAGAAGTGAAGGTAGACCCACCCAGGGCTAAACTCAGAGTTTTCTCTTTCATGCTCAGCACCCCTCACCTTGTAGGAGGAGTCCCTGGGTAGAGCAAAGAATTAAGCCCTCAACTAAGAATATAAATGCTGACATTTTGAACCCAAAGAGGCCCTTGGAAGACAGGTGTGGGAATCTGCTTTTAAGGGGCCATCCTTTTTAAATCTCGGTAGGGCAGGTGTGCTCTGCACATAGGAGGTCACTACGAGTTGGAATCCGCATTTTGTTGGAGACCACGAATACAAAAGCACCCGTGCCCACAACAGCGAGTGTGATAGACCCGGTCCACTATCCTGTAGGCTACAATGAACTGCCAGACTCACAGAGACGATGAGATCGTTTATAAAGTTCTTGGAAATTCTGCTGTGAGTCTAGTAGATTTGCCAATGGGCCCCTTGTGGTACCTGTGCTTCTGATGGTTCACGTATCTCTGCCAGAGTCCATGGAAAGAGACGGGAAAAGGCTGAGGGAGGTCTTAGTTCTCAGGGAAGGTGTGTGTGTGTGTGTGTGTGTGTGTGCATGAAAAACTTTTCTCTAAGTCTATTTTCCTTATAAAAATGCACACCATGTTGACAGTCAGCACTGGCTCCCTGTTTCAGGGTATCTCTGGCCTCACCCTTCGCCGCTGTACTTGTTCCTCTTCCCAAGAGACTTTCTACAGGTCAGCAACTTTTCATTTCCGCCCATTGCTTTAATCATTTGTTTACACGGCTGTCTTGCCCACTGCTCTCTGAACTCCTTGTAAGTAGGAGTGCCTCTCTCTTATCCTTCTTTGCTTTCAGGGCAAGAACAATGCATCTAATGTAAACATTTAATGAGCTAGAAACTAAGATTTTTGCCTTCGCTACTTGATTACTTCTTAGGTAATGTAAATTGTCGTGATAGTCTTATCTTCTAGCTCACTTTACACAAGCACTTCAGTCCACTGACTTAGCAGTCATATTACTTACCAGAGCACCGCTGCTGAGCAGGATCATGAGAACGATGAAACTTTCGAACCAATTGTGCTCAACTATCTTATAGCAGGTTTTCCTTATGTTCCACCAGATTTTCCCCCTCCCGGACTCTATGTTAACTTGGCAGCATGGGAACCTGCGCACACAACCTGGAAAGAGAGAGATAGATCTTGATACTCAGAATACCATGCTTAAAATGCATTCTTTCATGTAAAGCTTTCCCTGTGAGGCACTCTCAACTAGATTAATTTCTAACATTACTACCTAAAGTGTCAAATAATTCTAGATTATTGGAGCGGGGGATTATGTTGGTGTTTGAATTTACCCACCCACTCCACGGGAAATAGACTCGGTGATCCGCTTCTATAAAGGTTACAGTGAAGGAAATGCTGTGGGCAGGTCTACTCTGCCACAGAGTTAATAGAAGTCGGAATTGACTCCGTGTCATCCAACAGCATATATGTAAATTGTCTCTATGGTCCCTCATGCATGGCCACCCCTACATGTGCCTCATTCACCTTGAATGTCACCTTTTCACATCTCCTGGTCCTTTGTGGTGTTTTTTCTTAACCCTTGTCAGTAAGTCTAATTTAGAATGTATTCCCGTCCTCTGTAATTCCTTGATTTCTTGCCAGTCTCCAAAGTGTCTACCTAATCCTCGTTCATCCTTTCAGTTGCAACACAGCGTCTACTATATCATGAGCACTCAATAATGCTTTTATGGATGAATGCCTGTGAGAACTAAACACATTCCTGGGCTCTCTTTGACGGCAATTTTTTCACCCCTGACCTGGAGCTCATCTGTGGTTTGGCTGGTGTTTCACCCTCTATAAAAAAGGCCCTTTGAGAAACATTGTTCTCAGGAGAGTAAAGACAATCAGTGAAACATCCTAGCAAAAACTGAGGAAGACAGATCTTGATTACGGGACGCAGGTGAAATTGTTGCACGTATTTCAAATTAAGAGGGAAACTGACTTTGGAATCACATGTATAAAACATACTCTCCGAACTATTCAGACAAATCTAGTTTAAACTTTTCATATTTACTCCTTAGTTCATCATGTATTTGTCTTCTATGCACTCAGATGTGCACATAATTCCCTCTCTTGCGGGAACTTCTTATTGAGTTCAGTTAAATACAAATGTACTGTATATACTCGTGTATATGCCGAGTTTTTCAGCACATTTTTAATGCAGTGTTTGTGGTAAAATTAGGTGCCTCGGCTGATAGTCAGGCCGGCTTATACTCGAGTATATATGGTACACACAAAAATAACCATCACCGATCATGACTAGGAACTACAATGACAGCTACGCGAGGGTACTGGGGCAGCACAGAACAAGCCCACCTAGCCCGGCTTGTTTGTTGAGGAGAGGCACCGAATGCTTCCTGGAGGAGGAATGAGAGCAGCCAGCTAAAAAAGAGCGTGGCTGTTTTTCAGCCCCAAGAGGACAGCACCCATTGACACACACAGGAATCAGAACCAGTGCAGAATTGTAGGAAAGCAAAATGGACACAAGAAACAGACTTAGAGCAATTAGTCGGATTCTACCTGAAGGATTTTTGTGTACATTCTTTGAACATGAAGAGTAAGTGAAAGATTGTAAGCAAGGGAATGACAGACACACGGCCATTTAAAGAACGGTCTCCAACGACCTTGTGGTTAGACTGGGTGCAGGGAGGTGATGAGGAAAGAACGAGAGGCAGAAAAATAGTGACATTTCTGGCTGGAGGCGAAGGGTGGTGTAAGGAACTGTTACGTAGGGACCAGGGCAAGAACAGATCCAAGATGTACTTGGTAGATAAAGTCAGCAGGACTTGAGGAGTGACTGAAGGTGGGATGTGCGGGAAGGACAGGAGGCTCCCAATAACAAAAGGAAGACAACAGGAGACTTGTGTGAAACCCCCTCAGCTCTGTGCTGCTCATGTGGTTATTATTCGCCATGTGTGTGCTACCTATCTTTTCTGTCAGGAAAATTATTAATGAAGCGATGTGCATATGCATACTCTCTTTCTCTCGAGGGCCAGATTTTAAACCTGTGCCTAAACACACTGGAAACAGAGAAAGAAGAGAGAAAACTTCGAAGGAAAGAGACAGTAAGAAAGAGCAGTAAACAGAGAACTAAGAGGTTACAGGACCAGGGAAGTCAGTAAGTTTCATGAAGGAGTATTGGACAGAGCCCATGTCCTAGACAGAGGGATCTAGACAGATGATTAGGATTTTTTTTTAATTCACAGAAGAATTTTTAAAACTAAACAACCTAAACAACTTTGGGGAAAAAAAGAGAATTGAAAACGAAGAACTATAAGTAATTCCCCTTTCTAAAAACTTGACTTGTTTAACTAAATTTTATTTGAGGGGAAGTAGAAGGTGGGAAGGTTCTCTGGTGGTGCAGTGGGCTAAATGCTGGACCGCTAACGAAAAGGACAGTGGTTTGAATACACCAGCCTCTCTGTGAAAGAGAGATGAGGCAGTCTGCTTCCCTGAAGTTGCACTGCCTCAGAAACCCACGGGGACAATTCTACTCTGTCCAAGAGGATCCCTATGAGTTACAATCGTCTTGGGTGGTTTGAGCTTTTGAAACTAAAAGGATAAAAATAGGCAGCATCAGTTTGATATGTGCTTCAGAAGCTGACATGGTAGGCACTTAAAATATATTTTCCTCTCCTATAATACGATAGTATTTCAAGAAACAATATTTATCCAAAATATTGAGAAAATTATAAACTTCAAGTCATGAAACAAAAAGAATTTTCTTCAGGCACTCTGCCGATTAGACACTGTCATGCCATGGTTTCTTTTATGTGTCTGAACTGAAATTGGTTCATTGCTCTGGTTAAACTACGTCTCTCCTATGATTTTAATTCCTAGCACTAGAGGAATGCAGCAAGCTATGTATTTTCCCTAACCTCTGGTGTTTTTACTCTCATGTAATTTATGTGTTCCTCTTCTTCTCTGGTAGGTGTGTCTGTCATTAGCTTGCTTTCTGCTACTAGCTCTGGTACATACTAGAACTGTTTACAAAATTTAATATGTACTATGCAAGGAGCCTTGGTGGTGTAGTGGTTACCCATTGGGTTGCAATCCACATGCTTGCAAGTTCGAAATCGCCAGCAGTCCCTTGGGAGAAAGAGTGGATTTTCTACTCCTGTAAACAGTTACTGTCTTGGAAAGCCATTGGGGGGTTGCTATGAGTCAGCACTGACTCCTTGGCAGTGAGTTTGGTTTTAATATGTACTATATACACTAAACCAAATGCCCTGCCTTTGAGTTGATTCTGACTCATAGTGGCCTGGTAGGATAGAGGAGAACTCTTCCTTCGGGTTCCTGAGATACAAATCTTTGTGGAAGATAAAGAGAGCCTCATCTTTTTCTGGGGGAGCAGCTAGTGGTTTTGAATGGCCCACTTTGAAGTTAGCAGTTCAGTGCTTAATTCATGATGTCACCTTATGTGGTATATGGGTGACTAGAAAAATTATGATCCCAAAAAGAGAACTTAAAAATACTCTATGCATTTATTATAATCAGAAAGGTTACCTATCTATAAATTCTTGAATTTATACAAAGATCAGATGAAAAATAGAAAGAAACCTGGCTTGCATGGAAAGTATATATGACTTTATCCATGACCATTAAAATTAGCAGGTTATATCTGAAAGAAGCTATTGGTATTGTACTTAAAACAATTCTGTTATATCTAGTGAATGCATTTAGTTAACAGAGAATATTTTATTAACCAAGATAGAAACACAGTAAAGTGGTGGGCTCAAAATGGACTCTCTCGTGTAACCTCCTCTAAGGTAGAAGAAAGCAGTGGAAAGGGGAGAAAAAATTATGGTGGATTCTCAAAATAGTAACTTGATGCTTGATACTTTTAGAATTTATCTTAGGGGGAAAAAAGATCTCGGGTAGAACAGAATCTAGCCACCTCAAGTATAATTACTAGAGGAGAAAGTGATCCTTTAGGTTAAGGAGATTTTACTTTCGGAAATTGCTTGTAGTCAGTCTTAAAATCGAAGTGAAACATGCTTAAGAGTGAGGCATGACAGTCAGGGTGCGATGTAACAATGATGAGAAATACAACTTTCCTCTAGTTCCTAAATGTTTCCTCCCCGCTCCCACTACCATGACTCGAATTCTATCTTGCAAGACTGGCTAGACCAGAGGATGTACACTGGTACAGATAGGAACTGAAAATACAGGGAATCCAGGACGGATGAGCCCTATAGGACCAGTGGTGTGAGTGGCAAAACAGGGAGGGTAAAGGGAGAATGGGTAGGAAAGAGGGAACCCATTACATGGAACTGTGTGTGACCTCCTCCCTGGGGGACAGACAACCGAAAAGTGGGTGAAGGGAGACGTCGGACAGGGCAAGATATGACAAAATACCAATTTATAAACTATCAAGGGCTCATGAGGGAGGGGGGAGCGGGGAGGGAGGGGAAAAATGAGGACCTAATGTCGGGGGTTTAAATGGAGAGAAAATGTTTTGAGAAACGATGTACAAATGCGCTTTACACAATTGATGTGTGTATGGATTGGGATAACAGTTGTATGAGCCCCTAATAAAATGTTAAAAAAAAAAAAAAAAGAGTGAGGCATGAAAAAAAAACCCCTACGCATGCTAATTAGAAAAATAAGCCAACTTTTCATCATTTGAGATGAGGACTTAGAAACAGTGCCCTCAGGATTTTAACACCTCCGAGAGTTTCTCTTATTTTGAGGCAGGAGCATTCAAGCGCCTGTCTGGCTCTCATGCAAAGGCTGATCCCACGGGATTTCCAACCTAGCTGGTTAGCAACGTTCTCACACCTTTTTTTAAAAGGACTATTAATTGAATGAAAACATAACAGAGAACCTCTCAAACATTTTAATGGGCCCCAGGGGGGTCCAGGCTATTTCTTTTGGGTGGTTTCATTAATCTGCTCTCATGATGCATTACATAAAGTCCATGATAGGTTTCATCATGTTAAACCAATGCTCTCAGATAAAAAAGACACCACTGGGCACTTCCAAGACAGGCTATCCATTAATAAAAAGAATAAAACCCTAACAAAATATAAAAGTATAACCGCATGATCAGCACAAGTAATGAAAATACGGATTGGGTAACCAAGCCTGTGGTTCACTTTTTCTTAAATACTTCTAAAACCTCTAAAACATTTTGGTTCACTTTTTACTGTCCTACCTCCTGATTTAAAAATGTTTTCTTTTGTAGAAAATTGAACCCTGGACATTATGGGAGGAAGTTGAGTTGGTTCCTCCCACAAAATTAATAAGAAAAAATGTGGAAAAGGGAAAAAAGGGGCGGCGTCCGTCTGAGCTACAGCCCCGATGATGACTGATTACAGAATCCAGGAGTGCCACATAAAGCCGTTTAGCATCAAAGAGTCACACCACGAGTCACACCATGGTCATTATCAGGTTTCTAGACATGCAGAATGAGGGCAGTGAAACCGTGCAGGACCTAGGTTACAGAAAGTCTGAAATTTTGAATTATAAAACTACTGGAACAGAACTAATGTAAGACATGAGTGGAAGGAAAAGGGGGAGAAACGGGGACAAGATGCAAATCAATAAATGACACGAGTAAAGCGATAGTTGTTGGGGTGAAAGGATCAGCGGGTGTGAGGGAAGGGCAATCATTTTAGCATTCACATGAAGTGAAAACGCAACTCCTTTTATCTGTCTCTCATACTCCTTTATGGTAACACAAGTCTCATGCTTGTCAAATGCTACCTGGGATTGGCTTTGGTTCTAGCTGAGCTCTTTTAGATGAGTCTTGAATTAGCAAGTGATATTCCCAACATAAGTCAATGAGTTCCTGATTCCCCACCCTCACAAGCCCATGCTTCTCAAAGTCTTCAGGTGGAACTACATATTTCCCGTGTCTGGGACCCTAAACCCTCAGAATCCTCTTTAATGCCCCTCTTTTCTTTACCACCCACATGCAAACCCCCAACAAGCTCTTTAAGCTCTAGTGTCAAGGAAAACACAGATTCTCCTACATTCACCCTCCCCACACTCTCACCCGGGTCTAACTACTCTCATCTCTCATCTGATTGATGGAAGGAGCCTCCAAGAGGTCTCCCTGCTTCTACTGCTATCGAATCGTCTACTTCCTAATTGCATGTTAGGAGCCTTTACAATTGTATCTTTATAAGGCCCTTCAAGCTGGCCCCTAGTCTCAATTTCCTTCAGGTATACTGGCCCTTTGACTTCTCCCAGTGTTTTGTGTGACTCACATGGGGTTCTTCGCCTAATCGTCCTTGACGTATCTGCATGACCCCTTCCAATTTTCTTCAGGTCACTGGTCACATGTCACCTTTAAGAAAGGTCTTCTCTGACCATGATATGTTTATAGAGAGACAGAAGACCCTCACTCCTAGCCGACTGCACTTAGCTAACCTACTACCTATTTTCATGTTTATTGGGGGAGGGCCATTGTGTGTATCAGTGCTCTATCTGCACTGTTCAAAACTGTAGTGGTTATTTAATTTTTTTTTTTAAAAACAAGTAAAGGAATAGCTGAGTGAATAAATGGTTGAAGGTCTGATCAATTTGACTGCTTTGTTGAATTTAGGCTGAGTCATTTAGTGTAAAGTATCCAATGGGGTAAAATTGCTCAAATGGATCTGACTCACATGTGTGAAATTTTTCATATTTTTTAATGCTTCAAGCCAAGATTCATTTAAAAATGTGTTTACATGGTTTCTTGGATGCACTGACCTTAATTTACAAGTTACAAATAAACTCAAAGGGATCATAAAAAAATAAGTTTTGTAGAATTAAAATAACCTTTATAAAATTCTATTTTAGTAACATTTTAGAATGGTGCAATGTTTATAAGGGCATCATTTTACGTGGATCCACAATCAGGGCCTATAGATGGAACAAATCTGCTGTCAAAGAGCTCTTTAAAGTAATAAAAAGAAGCAAAGTTGACGTCTAGAAAATTGAGGCATCACCGACCGATGCCAGAGTATTTCCAATCCCCTCATGAGCTATGAGAACTGAAGAACAAATAAGGACGAGGCGAGAAGGGATGCATTTGGGTTGTTGCCTTGGTAACGGACATTAAATTATTGTGGATGGTGAGAAGAAGGAATAAGTCTGCCTGGGACAGGGTAGATCTACAGTGCTCCTTTGGGGACATGCTATCAGGAGGAACCAATCCCTGGAGAAAGACACCATGCTTGACAGAGTAGAAGGGCCGCAAATAAGAGGAAGATTCTCAACAAGAGGGGCTGGTACGGGGGCTACACTAATGGGCTCAAACATAACAACAATTGTGAGGATGCACAGGACCATTGTGCGCCGTTGTGTTATACACAGGATCCTTGTCAGCTGGAACTGCACCTAACAACAACATCTCAGTGGCATGATCCATGGAAACAGCATAGAATCAACACTTTCTGCAGAGGGTTCAGAAGCCCTTGGATGGCATGCATACTGAAGTACTGAGCTAGTAATGACAATGGGGATTTGAATCCACCCGAGGATGCCTAGAAGAGCGATCCAGTGACCTGCTTCTGAAAAGACAGTTAAGAAAACCCTGTGGTGCACTGTTCTACTGACAGACGGAGGTAGGGTCAGCATGAATTGGAGTCAATAATGGCAACTGGTTTACACACAGGGTTTATGTTTTCTAAAACACCTTTTAAGTTTGAAGCCATCATTTGTTTGACAAGACCAAGTTCTTTCTTAGCCTAAAATTTTTAAGTCAGGTCATAAAATGAATAATGAAATCTTGGTAGCATCTATATATAGATTTTGGTTTCCATGATACTTATCAACTTATTAAGCAATCGGTCATAAATGTTATTGAAATCATAAATATCTTTAACATGTGTATTTCAAAAGGCAACTCCATGTATCTTGCTTATCAAACTAATTTCAGTACACAAAGAATTTATATTTATTTGGTATTACACTCCTTTACTTCTCACATAAAATAAGATTTACTTTGTATTTAAGGGAAATTTGTACCCCCTTTACAGGGATATTATTGTTATCTCCAATTACAGATGAGAAATCTGAAATATAGTAGGATTTTTCAAATGTGCTCAAGGATTTACAGTCAGCAATAAGTCAATTAAAACCCATTTATCACACTTCAAAACTTATACTTTGTATTATTGTTCAATGAGCTCAAACACATGCATATGACTAAAACTAATCAAAAACCAAACTCACTACCACTGAGTTTATGCCAACTTATGTCCACCCTATAGGGACAGAGTAGCATGGTGCCTGTGAGTTTCTGAGGCGGGAACTCTTTATGGGAGTAGAAAGCTCAGTCTTTCTGCCTCGGAGTGTCTAGTAGCTTTGAACTGCTGACCTTGCAGGTAGCAGCCCCACTCGTGAGCACCATGCAACCAGGGCTCCTTCTAGAGGAAAGGCTGTGATATAAGAGCAAACAGCACAGAAATGATACCCAAATTACAGAACTGGATAAATTCCTATTAGGCATAGAGAATAAGAAAATAAGATAACCAAGAGCAAACAATGAGGGGGAAGGGTCATCATTTAAATACATTTTTGAAAAACAGTGAAAGAAAATCATAATTTCCAGAGATGTGAAAGAAAAAAAATCAGTGTGATTTCCAAAGAATAATTTAGAGCTATTTTGGTTAACTGTATGAAATCATAAACTAAGTGTTGATAAATAGCTTTGATTTTTGATGCAAAGGGTAATGGTACCATTCATCCTATAAACTGTGTTGATATGGAGTTTTTATGGAGTTAGAACAATTGTAATATACAGTATGCTGTTGCGGGTTGGCATTGAGTTGAGGCGGACTCTCAGTGCCCATGTGTGTGCACAGTAGAACTACTTCATAGGGTTTTCTTGGGTGTGACCTTGGAAGTAGATAAAGAGTTCTGTACTCTTCAATTTATACCACACATCAAAATGATAGTTTTGGTTATTCTCAGCGATTCAAATTGTGTTCATGTTCAATCACCCCTCCACCCCCCACCCCCACCCCCCGGAAAAAGGAAGTTGAAGGGGGAAATTAGGGCTGTAGGACCAAAGGGTGAGATTTTCTTATAAAATTCTCATAGGATAGTTCTTGCTACTCTCAAAGAAGGAGCAGGTGCATTGTCATGATGGTAAAATCTTCCTTGGAAACTGTTTTGATTGGCCCGTTGTTTCTCAAGCACCCAAACAAGGCCAGGACAAATTTATTACTGAGGGAACTTGTCTGCAACCAACTGAGGGTGGACTCATATTTAAACATGTTTTGATTCTAATAAACTCAGCATACATGAACTGGAACTCCAATGGTTATATTTTTTCACTTACTCTTGTATTTGCACCACTCAGGGAACTTGCACTATTGTATTGCAAAGTGTATTCACACATTTTATTAACACAATCCATAGATGCTTAGAGAACTCTAGCGACTTCCCTTAAGTCATTGATGGAGAATCAGCACTAAGTAGGGTCATTTGTCTTTTGGGTCATGAACACCTGGCAGGCATTAAAATAAAACTCCACCCACTAATTCATAGATGCTAACCAAGGTCTCGAATTTTCTCTTACCATCTGTGAAACAGGCATCTGGATCATCTGAATTTATGGGTTCAACCTCTGCTTCTTCTCCTTCTCCTGCCACCGGGTTATCAACTGTGCTGCACTCAGAAGAACTCGATCGATTCAGTCTCTGAAAAGGAATTCACCACCCCCACCAGATAGTTCATTTAGTGCTCATCCAAATCCCGAGTTTCCACTAGACTTCATTAATGGTCAGAGCATGCAAAGTGCTATGGAACCAAATCGACAGTATGATGGCCGTAAACACACACTGAGATCAAGTGACCTTGCAATGTTTCTAAACTTGATCTTTCTATCTACACATCCTGTGGAAATACATGTTATAGTTTTTACAAGGCTAACAAGTAAATGTTATTGGCATTAGGTACTATTTTGATGTTAACCATCACATTTGCAAAGAACTGGCTTCATTTTTGTAATGATCTTTTGTAGTTACCTTGAATTTACATACAATAGCAATTATTATTTTAGGACAAACAGACTGTAACTGTCAATGACAAACATGTGCCATATAGCCCATGCTTGTTAATTAAAAACTGAGCTCTAAAAACTAGCAGAAAATGCTTATTAATACTTAGAATAATAGTAAGATAAACCACAAACATCTATTTCCTGTTATTTCTTCAATTTATAAATATGTAGCAGGATGATATAGATAGAAGGTGTTTCGCTAAGACACACACACAAAGTTCAATGTATTGGAATAAAATGCCAAAGACCACAGACATTATTTCACCCCCCACAGTCCATTTCATCATAAAATTGCAGGATATCATAGAGTGTCACAGAGTATCATTCATCATGTCGAGAGAAGGGCCACTACAGTGAGCACCACATGCAAATTCTGTAACAAAGAGTCAACAAAATTACACATCGCAGACTAACACATGGAAGTAATGAACTTGGCATTATGACCACAAAGTTGATCATAACGCAAACACAGGTTTGCCACCTAGAACTCTATGATCAAGCATGAATGTTTATAGACACACAAGTGGATATTCCTGGAAAAAAAAACCAAAAAAGCCAAAATAAAACAAAAACATACAGCCACTGTAGCAAAGCTCAGTTACATTTTCGTAACACTGCTTTATAAACGAGTAGGGTATTCACGACTCCTAAAAAGGAGAAGAATCATGCTTTCATTCTCATTTGCCAAGTATCACATGAATACTGTAAAATGATCAATTTCTGCCTCCTACAAAGATTACATTTCTCTTTTTTATAAGAGTAGTTTATAGAAATGCAGGTGTTAAAAATACAAAGGAAAGACTCATGAATCAATGACATTCATTCTTTAATCTCTTCATTTATATTAATATGATAGACCCTATCCAAAAAAGAATTTACCTGAAGCTAGCCACTTGTTTATTACCAACATTTCTTGTGATAGGCATTGACTTTGTATGTTGTTTCATGCTAGAATACGTGGCAGTTCTGGTTGGTCATTTCTTATGTTAAGAAATAAAGTAGACTTGTTTAATTCACTGGCACCAAAAACTGAGCACTGCTAAACTGTTGTTTTTGTTCGGCACCCTCCAGTAGGTTCCAACAAATAGCAACCCTATCTACAACAGAATGAAACAGTGCCTGGTTTTGCACCAATCTCACATTCCTGCAATCACTGTGTCAATCCATCTCTTGAAGGTCTTCCTGGTTTCTGCTCACCCTCTATTTTACCAAGAATGTGGTCCTTCTCCAGGGATTGGTCTCTCCTGACATCATGTCCGAAGTACACGAGACAAAATCTTTCCATCCTTGTCCCTAGGGAGCAATCGGGCTGTAGATTTTCCAAGATAACTTTGTTTGGAAGACCACAGTCCTTTCAATATTTTTTGCAAACCTTTCATTCAAAGGCATCGATTCTCTTTCCATCTTCCTTGCTCCATGTCCAACTTTCACAAGAATATGAGGCAAAAGAAAATAACATGGGTCAGGCGCATTTTAGTACTCAAAGTAGATTGCTTACTTTTCAAGGTTTTAAAGAGCCCTTGTACAGCAGATTTACCCAATGTAATGTGGCATTTGGTCTCCTGACCGCTGCTACCATGAGCATTAATTGTGGATCCAAGGAAGACGAAATCCAAGGCAACCTTAATCTTTTCTCCATTGATCATGTTCCTTATTTGTCCGGTTGAGAGGATTTTTATCTTTACGTTGATTTGTAATCCATACTGAAGGCAGCAATTTAGATCTGCATCAGCAAGTGCTTCAGGTCTTCCTCACTTTCAGCAAGACAGGTATGTCATCTGCATTCTGTAGGTTGTTAATAAGCCTTCCTCCAATCTTGATGCCTAATTCTTATACATATAACCCAACTTCTATGATTATTTGATTAGCATCCACATTGAATTAGTAAGTGAAGGATATAACCATGACACACGCCTTTCCTGATTTTACATCTTGTAGTATTCCCTTGTTCTGTTCACACAACTGCATCTTGATCCATGAACAGGTTCCGTATGAGCACAATGACGTGTTCAGGAATTCCTATTCTCAAGGTTCTCCATAGTGGTTAGTATCCACCCTGTCAAACACCTTGCCACACTCAACAAAACACAAGTGAACATCTTTCTGGTATTCTCTGATTTCCTAAGGCCCTTCTGACATCAGCAATGAGATCCTTGCTGCACATCCTTTTCTGTATCCAGCCTGAACCTAAGGCAACTCTGTCAGTGTACAGCTGCAATTGTTAGATGATCTTCAGCAAAATTTTACTTGCATGTGATATTAATGATATTGCTCTATGATTTGAGTTTTTTTTGGTCACCTACTTTTGGAATGGGTACAAATAGATTTCTTCCAGGCAGTTGGCCAAGAAACTATCTTCCAAATTTCCTGGCACAGATAAATGAGTGCTTCCAGTGTTTCATCAGATTTTGAAGCATTTCAATTGATATTTCATTAATTTCTTTTTTTTTTCTCATTAATTTCTAGACCCTTGACTTTGGCTAATGCTTTCACTGTAGCTTGAATGTCTTCCTTCAGGACCATTGCTTCATATGCTACCTCCTGAAATGGTGGAATGTGAACTAGTTATTTTTGGTAGAGTGACTCTGTGTTTTCTTTCCATCTTCTTGTGATGCTTCCTGCATCATTCAATATTTTGCCCAAAGAATCTTTCAATATCACAACTTGAGCTTGAGATGTTCCCTGAATTGTTTCAGTTTAAAATATGCTGAGCATGTTCTTCCTTTTTGGGTTTCTAACTTTGGGTCTATGCACATTTCTTTATAATATTTTACTTTGTTATCTCAAGCTGCTCTTTGAAAATGTCTGTTCAGCTCCTTTACTTCATCACTTCTCCATTCACCTTAGCTACTCTTAAGATTTAGAGCAAGCTGCAGCATCTCTTCTGACGTCCACGCTGTCTTTTCATTCTGGTCTTTTTAATGAAACAGATGAAATTCTGTCGTCTTTTTAATTTGCTTTATTCATGAATTATATTCCTGATGTCCTTCCACAGCTCATCAGGACCTCTCTCATCCATGGTCAATGCAGCAAATATGTTCTGGAGCTATTATCAACATTCAGTTGGGATATACGCATAGACATATTTTGGCTATCATGTTTTGTTGTTATTGTGTTTAAATTTTCTTCAGCTTAACCTGAACTTGCATATGAGCAATTAATGGTCTGTTCCACAGTCAGCCTCTGGCCTGGTTTTAGCTGCTGAATTAAGCTTCTCCATCTTTTCATACTACATTTTCACACAAATGTAGTCAATTTCTTTTCTGTGCATTCTATTTGGAGAAGTCCATGTGTATAATCACTTTTTGTGTTGTTGTTAAAAAAAATAGTGTTTACTATGAACTATGTAAAGTCATTGGTTTGGGGAGGTCATATCATGCAAGCTCCATCTTTGTTTCTATCACCAAGACCATATTTTCCCTACTTACTGTCCTTTCTTCGGGTTTCAACTTTTGAATTCTAACTGCCAATAATTATCAATGCATCTTGATTGAGTGCTTTATCAATTTCAGATGGATGATGTTGGTACAATTCTTCAATTACTGCATCACTAGCTTTAGTATTTGGTGCATACATTTTAGTAATAGCTTTATTGATTGAATTTCCTTGACTTCAGATATGTATAATCCTATTATAGATGCTAGTGAACTTCAATGAATGCCACTGGTCAATGAATGGAAAGCCATTCCCCTTGAATGGATCATTCCCAGCATAATAAACCGTAAGATTTTCCTACTCAGCATGGTCACTTTCAGTCCGTTTCAGTTCACTGACATCTAGGATACCCATCTTTGTTTTCAGTTTCATTTTTTTATGACTTTCAATTCCCCTCTTTTCCATACCTCTTATATTTCTGATTGTTAGCATATTTTTGCAGCTGTTTCTTCTCATGGCGAGTTATGCCCCGTTCGTATTTGCGTAGAGCCCGAAGGCGTTCCTCTCACAGGCTCTCCTCCCTCCGCCTCACTGCGGTCAGCTCGACTTTGGGAAAGCAGCTTCTCCACAGTCTCTTTTGATTGAGGGCTTTCTGACTGGAGGAGCTCATCTTGCACATCTCCAACGATGTTCTGAGTCTGTTCATTAAGCCTTACGTAACGGACAACATGTAGATGCTCTGCAAAAGGTTTTCAGCAGTTAATTCCTCTGCAGCGGGCTGCTGGGTCCTTCTTAGCCTGGATGCTCTGCTGATTCCTGTTGCCTTTGGGTGACCTTGTTGGTATTTGAAATACCAGTGACATAACTTTCAGCATCATAGCAACACGCAAACCACCCTAGGACAACAAACTGACAGACACGTGGTGTCGTCAAAGGGTAGAAAACAAAACAAAACAAAAAATCTCTCTCAAAGAAGGTGGTTGATTTTGAAACATCCTAAAGATGTGTATATTTATAACATATATTCTATGACTGTGTGCTTCCCACAACAAAAGAAAGGTATCCTTTGAGCAGAGTACAATAAGAAAGTAATATTTTTATTAGATTCAAATAAATAAAATTCTTTAAATTTTAAAGCATAGTATTATGCATCATCCAAAATGCTGATACTAAACCACTAAGAGTAGAATGGTAATGTTCAAAGTATAGGATTAAAAAATTGTTTGATTAAAATTCCACAGAGAACTACTACTCTTTATGTGA